GATGGGAAGGGGGAAGAGGAAGAGAACAGTATGGAGGGTCCTTGCGGCTTTGTTGGTGCTGTGTAATTACAGACAGTCAGACTGTATGAGGAATGAATTGAACACAGGCAGCAAGTGACCACAGTATGTGTTGACCTGAGAGTTAATGGTCTGTGCTGTGTTGCCTCACAGTGGGCTGAGTAGTCCTTGCAGTGCTGTGCACTTTTATTTGTTCTGGGGGTCAGGGATGGAGAATGGGCTGTGTTTTGAGGGGAAGATTAGTTATATCTTTTAGTTACAAATGTGCCACACATGTGGATCTGAATGTGACGTGTTTGAAATGCTTTCTTCCAGGTCCAAAAGGGAGTCCATGGCTTTGTCCAAGACAAGAGTGGCAAGGCAATTTCTAAAGCTATCATTGCTCTTAATGAAGGTTTGAGGGTCTTTACTAAAGAAGGTGGCTATTTCCATGTGCTGTTGGCTCCAGGTTTACACACCATCAGTGCAGTAGCTGAAGGGTACCAGCAGAAACATGTCAAGGTAGGTGAATGCCTGTATTGGAGATTTTCCCTCTGCTCCTTGTCATATGAAGGCATCCCTGTCTGGTCTCTGCCTTGGCTGTGCTTAGCTGTTGGTTATCTGCCTGGTTTTCTGCCTTGATACAATGAATGGAGAAGAATTTCCTAGCGCAGCAGGGTTGTTTCAGGCAGTGGCTTTTCTTTCCATTGTACTTGTCTTTGCTGACCAGGGCAGAACTGGGTGGATGCCAAGTATCTCTTTCATCTTGACACCTGAGAGAGGTGAAAGCTTAGAGACACTCTGAGCTCTTGTATCTTTCTGCAGGTCTTTGTCCGTCACGATGCACCCAGCTCCGTGTTCATTGTATTTGACACAGAGAACAGGATATTTGGCCTGCCAAGGGAGCTGGTTGTGACTGTTGCAGGTAAAGTGACACAACTGATCAAAGCTTTGAGCTTTGCTTTCTGTACTGGTTCTTGCTGGCAATGACCCTTCACTGAACTGGAAAAGTAGCCTGAAGACATAAGCCATCTCCTGCTTTCCCTTCTGAACATGTGCTTGTCTTTGCAAACTGGTCCAACAACCTTTGGATCTGGTGATGCTGGACTAGCAGAGGGGAGGGAAGTAGAGGATGTTGCCAGGGGTCTGAAGGTTTTAGAATGAACTTTGACATGCCTGGAATGGGGTAAGCCTGGTTGCATGTGGAGCTGGAAGCTAGATCTTGCTGCTTCTTCAGGGTGCTGTGGCACCAAGTAAGCATTAGTACTTACTTATTTTGTCAAGGTGGCAACTGCTGGAAGGCAAGAGGTTGTACCCAGTCTGCAGAGGAGCTCGGTGGTGCTGCTCCAGATTGTGAGCACAGAAAATAAAGCTAGTGCAGTCCTGCTCTGGAAGCAGCTGTCATGCGTGGCATGTCTGCCCTGGCCTAGGAGGAAGCAGCAGGGTCACAGTGAAGCGAGGAAATGGTTGTGATTGAGGAAGGGAAGAGAGATGGTGGCAAGCTCAGGAGCCTCCCATAAACTTTGATGTCTTGTCTCTGGCAGGTGCAAGTATGTCTGCTCTGCTCCTCACTGCCTGTATCATCTGGTGTGTCTGCTCCATCAAGTCCAACAGACACAAGGATGGCTTCCACCGCCTCCGGCAGCACCACGACGACTACGAGGATGAAATCCGCATGATGTCCACAGGCTCCAAGAAATCACTCCTGAGCCATGAATTCCAGGATGAAACAGACACTGAAGAAGAAACACTGTACTCCAGCAAACACTGACACTCCTCGGGCAGGAAGGGAGCTTCCCATGGACCAGACCCAGTGGTGGGGGCCAGTCCCTGTGGTTCAATTTTGAAACATTAGCTTGCAGGATGTGTCCTCCAGAGGTGCGGGTGGCTGCTCCCAGCTCCCCTCTATTTGCTCTGTTCCTGTGTACATGCAGATTAGTTGGTGTTGGGGGCTGGTTTCAGGCTAAGAGCGGACACTGGTTGTTATGGTTTTGGATCAAGACCTGGAGGTTCACATGAGGTTGTTTGAAAGGCAGCTTAACAGGGTGGCCAGCAGAGTTCCTAGCACTTCCCCAGCACCTCAGTACAGCAAGCAGATGGTGGGGAAGTGCCCCAAGACCTGCAGGGAGTCATAGTTCCAACACTCCAGAGCAGTTTCTCTTCCTGTTTTGATTTCATGTTTTCCACTCTGTACCTGGGGGGAAGCCACATCCTTCACTTGACTCCATGTTCTGCAGTGCAGCCCTTGGAAAAAGACCCACCCCCCAGAAAAAAACCCATCCTTTGGTTCTCAGCTGCTTCCTTGGAGCTTCTTCCCACCAGGAGATGCTGTGGCCTGCTATGATCAGCAGCGAGAGCTAGGGGAGATGACATCCACTCTTGATGTGAGCTGGAGGAAGGAGCAGATGTCAGAGCTTCAGTGGACCCTGATGAAGTTCGGTTGCTTGCCAGCTCTGTGGTACTGCTGTGCCTGACTTCTGGGGAAGGAAGAAGCTTTTTATACCCATCACCCCTGGTTGCTTTTCATTTGTGTAGTAGACTTGGCCTTTGGGGTTTCACGTTAGCATTGCAATGGCACAGTGTCTGAAAGAGCAACTGGAGGTTGTTCTAAGCAAATGGATAAACTGATGGGGTTGGATACTGTTAGAAAAGCAATCAGTTACTGACTCCACCTGATCAGTCTTGCTCAAGTGTGCCACTGTTCAGGAGGAAAGAGTGAAATGTGACCACTGCTTTGTATTGCACTCCTATTGGAGCAGCAGGGAGAGGTCATGGGAGTATCCATGGCCCAACTTCGGTCTTAAATTTTGAAGCAAAGCTGTACCTAATACCATTTACTGGTCAGAGCACTTTGGAAACATCCTCATCAAGCTCTGGTGATGGTGGGCATCAGCTTAGCTGCTGGCTTGGCTCTGTTCTGCCCTGAAGTGTGTAGCAAGAGCTCCACCTGCTTGTATGTCGGCTGCTGCGGGGCCTGAGTGCAAGGTGTGAGGAAGGGCTGAATGGCTGTGCTGAAGAAGAAGGAAAAAGCAGCCACATCCTGTTTTGTAGCACTTGGCAGGAAAGGGGAGCTGCAGTGTGCATCCCCCAGGCAGGTGGGATTTGGGGGGAATAGAAGTGATGGCCAGAAGGGAAGAATGGCTGAAATGGTTGATTTCCAGAGCCTTGATGCATCTCTGATGTTCCTGTGCTTTCTGGGCAGAAGCTTGGGCTTAGAATAGGCACTTATTTTCTTGCTGCTCATGTTCTTTTTTTTTAATCCTTGCCCTACTGACTTGAACTCCAGGGTGCAGGAGCCTGGCACAGCAATGTCTTGGGCATCCACTTTGCCCTGAGCTGATCTGTTCTCCAGCAACCTGGGGAGGTTCACTGGTGAATCCTACACATGGTGTCTCCTGGGGGGTGTTTGCACCCAAATGCATGATGAGGTCTGTTCTGCAGGGTTCTTACTTGGTCCTCTCTGGGGAAACAGTGCAGTGGGTTCCCTATTGAAGGCTGCTGGGCCCCTGTCACCTGGGGAAGGAGCAGTTCCTCACCCCAGCATGTGGTAAGTGCCCATCCAGAGCCACATGCCCGTGCTGCCGCGCTCATAGTCCCAGCTGATAATGTGCAGCCAGCTGGAGGGACAGAGAGAACCCTTACCCACCAACACACCTTCCCTGTCCCACAGGGACTTCTATTGCAAGAAATGTGTGTTAAGACCAGGCTTGGGTGCAGGGAGATGAGGCTGAGCATTGCTTCTGCTCCTGTCCTGCATTGCTGTGGTGTGAAAGCTGCTCTTGAGCTGTGAGCATCCCTGTGCCTGCTCCCAGCTCATCATGCTGAGCAGGACTGTGATTTGGGCCATGACCCTTTCCCATGGGTGATGAGCTGCAGCACACCAGCACTCAATAGTGCTAACTCTGCCTAACCTCTGAACCTCCCCTGCTTCTGAGGGCTTTACCAAGAGACACAGCTGGGGTTTGTGTTTAAGTTAAGTTTGCAAATGGTCCTTAGGGCTCTGTTTGGGTTTCAGTTGCTCTGGCAGCAGGTGCTGGGGGCTGAGCTGGCCTTGCTTTGTCCCACTAGCAATAACCCTCCTTAGAGCTGGCCCTTTCCCTCCCAGGGTGGTGTTTGGCAGCAGCTTGCAGTAGGTGTGTGGGTTTGAGACGTTTTGCCAACCCGTGAGGCTTTTCTATACAGCAGGACCAGGGGGGGGTCTGCCTCTTGCTCTGTGCTCGGGGCTGCAGCAGGAACCCCTGGGGGTGTTTGTCACCGGTTGGGGAAGGCAGGAGCAGCCTCCCCTCGCTGTCCATCCATCCACCCATCCATCTGCCCGAGCTGGTCCCCCGCGGGCACTTGTCCCTGCAGCGTGTCCATGCACTGTGCCTTCGAATGTCCGTTTTCTAAGGGACTTGAATCGCCTTTTCCTGGCGGCGGGAGCGAGGCCTGGCTCTGCCCTCAGCCTCTGTTTTTTACCTGTATACCGAGATCCAATAATCCGTATAAAATTATTTTGATGTCCACTTGGCTCGTCTCCTTCTTCCTCCAGCGTGGGCTTGGGGCTGCAGGGAGGATGCTGCAGCCAGGCCGGTGCGGTTGTACCTCAGCTCCTCTTTGAGGAGCTCGGTTCTGTGCCTCTTGCTAAAAGATATTGAAGTGGTGGGCAATGAGGCTGGAGCACAGGAGTGATGGGGGACAGCAGAGGGGAGGGTTGAGTGTGGAGAAGGGGAGGCTGATGGGGTGAGGTGTGCAGGGTGAGTGGTGGCTTCCCCAAGGACGAGAGGAAAGGGCCGCAAGCTGCGCCAGGGCAGGTTTAGATGGAGCTGAGGTGCTCAGGCATTGGATCAGGGCAGTGCTGGGGTCACCGTCCCCGCAGGTGTTCACCCTCGGGGTGAGCGCTGGCCTCGGCAGGAAAGGCTGGACCGGACCTTGAAGCCCTTCTCCGCCCTGCTTCACCCTATGGAACGGCCTCCCCGCCGCTTGGTGGCGCTGCAGCGGGCGGGCAGCCCATCCCTCCGCGGGCCTCTCCTCCAGGACGCCGCTCTAGCTCGCCCTTCTCCCTGGCGCGGTGTCGCCGGGCCGCGGCTGACGTTGGACAACAAAGATGGCGGCGGCGAGCAGCAACTACTGGGAAGGCGAGTGGGGCCTGGGCGCGGCGGGGACGGGGCAGCGGGGGCCCGCGGGGGCCCGCCAGGGCAGGCCGGAACCGCCGACGGCTCCGCGCTGCGGGCTTGGCGCGGCCGGAGGCAGGGGTGGCCCCTTCGGCCCCTCAGCCATGAGGCGGCTGTGCCCGGCTGAGGGCCCGTGGGGAGGGGGGGACACCCTGAGCGCGACCCTCGCGGCCGTGTGGGGCAGGGCCCGGGAGCGCTCAGCCGTGCCCCAACCGGCGAGGGTCCCCCTTTCTCCGGGGGGTTTCCCCTTTCTCCATGGGGTTTCCGCTCCCTCCGCCAGCTCCGCCTCGTCCCCCTGAACGCGTGCGGTCCCCGGGCGCGTTTGTGACTGGTCCCCGCTCTCGGCCGCCCTGTGCAGATCTCCGGAAGCAGGCGAGGCAGCTGGAGAACGAGCTGGACCTGAAGCTGGTCTCCTTCAGCAAGCTCTGCACCAGCTACAGCAGCTCCCGAGACGGAAGGCGCGACAGGTATAGGTACTAGCCCGTTTCTTTCTGTTTTAAACGCTGCCTGTGGTACTTGCTTCGGTTTTGTACTCTGCTTCATGCTAGTTCCACCTGTGGCTGTTGTGCTCTGCTTCTTAAGCAGCTCGTTTCGGCACTTCTCATTGCTGGTGTTGGGCTTGATGCAATATTGAGGGATATTGGGGGGTGAGTCAGAAAGGCGTGTGGGCTGCAGAGGTGCCTTGTGAGAGTGTAAATGTCGCTGAGGAGACTGCACTGTAACGGTGGGGTTTGCATGTTGAACTGGTGACAGGGCTTTTTAATGCTTACATTGGCGTATTTTCCAGTTTTTCTTGTATTAAAGTAGCAGGAGGGCTTCAGAGAAGTGAGTACGAGGGGAATTCCTACTTCCCAGGTGGGCTGGGGTGGTACTTGTAATCTCTGCTTTAACGGTAAGGGAATGGGAGCACTGAGCAGCTGTGGCTAGTCCAGGGTTGCTCAGGGGACTAGTCTTCCCTTTAGGAAGAGTAGCTGCTGCTTTCTGGCTTTCTTTTAAGGCGAGTAGTAATAATGAGAGCTCTGTATTTGCTTCTTTATACATATAGTGTATATGGTTCATGTATATATGAACCACATAAATAGGCGTGGGTGTATGTATATGAGTACTTTCTGTTTGCTTTAGTCAGATTTATGTTTGACTGAAGAATTACTTTGATTAAACTTTTCAGGTCTTTCTTGCTTATGGGCCAGACTTGAGGTCTTCTACAACGTTAACTGTCAACTTCTATGTCCCTGTGTGCAGCCTTTAAAAACTGCTATTGCTTCCTTATTATCTTTGGGTCCTGACTGTGTATCAGTGTTGTGACGGTTCTGGGGATGTACATTGATGGTTTTGTTTATTTAAGTTGATAATTGAATCTATTTTCAACCTTTCCATGAACTTCTGGTTCTGGGAACCTGAGAGATCCTCGACAATGATCATGTTACGCTTGAATCCGAATCTTGGTCTCTCTTGTTTCTGGCTCTGTTACTTGCTGTGTAATCTGATTGTTTTAGTTATTTTTGCTGTACTTGCTTCTCTTACAGTAGTTATGGTGGATTACCAAAGCAATGAGTAGTCTTTGAAAGGTATTAGTTGTCATATTTACACATCAGCATACCCTGTGTTGTGCTTCGGTTCTGTTGCTTAGATGTGGCTTTAATTTATCTTAGAAAGCTTCTAGGGAAGGTGTGAAACTGTAACTCTGATAAATTGTGTGGCTTGTGTTGCTCTGTAGAGCACTGATTGCTTAATAGGTTAGTGGGTTCTCCTTACACTGTATTTAATTAAGGTGCCTTGCACTTGGCCTTGTTGAACTTCATGAAAAGATTCCTGAAAAGATCATGTCCTTTGCAGTAACTGCTCCTCTTTTCCGTTAGCTCTGACACAACTCCCCTCTTAAATGGATCCAGCCAGGACAGAATGTTTGAGACCATGGCTGTGGAGATTGAGCAACTTCTGGGAAAGGTAACTGTGGATTTACTTCAGCTTCTAGGAAACATTGCAGTGCAGGTTCCCGTGATGCATGTTGGGAGATACTAATGTGGGTGTTAGACAAGTGTTTCTGGAGGTACACGTCTGTTGTTAGAGCTGGCTCCTTCAACATATGCACTGTAAGTTTCTTCCAGGAACAAGCCATTTCATGGTTTGGTTTTGTTTTCCTTCTCCAGCTTACTGGAATAAATGACAAAATGGCAGAATACACAAATAGTGCAGGAGTCCCCTCCCTGAACGCTGCCCTCATGCACACGTTACAGCGTCACAGAGACATACTGCAGGTAACAGACCCATGTCCTTCTTGCTTGTGTTTTATTTCTTTGTTTGGGATCATAGTTACCAGTGCTGGTATTGCAGCATGCTTCAGGGTCTGATCAGAAGATTTGAATGGCAGCAGTCTCAGCTCACTGTTCTCTCCAGACACCCCAATCAATGAACTTGAGTTGAAAATTGCATTTTTTTATGTCATATTGGTGATACCTAAGAACTGTAGAACATGCCATCTTGCATAGGTGTCTTTTATATAGCAAAAGGGGAAAGGTGATGGACTGTCTTGTGTGTGTGGCCTGTCACACAGCAATGTGTGAACCTCACACTTAAAGTATGATGGTAAAGCCATCTAAACTGCTAAAAAAGTTTGAAGGAAATGTGATGGCTAAAGCTACTAATTCATGTTAGAAATCAGCCATGTTTCAAACTGGTGGTGTTTTCATGGCATGGTAGTGTTAATAAGGCCTGTTTTATTTGGCTGGTCACGTACAGTTTGGTTTCTGTTTCGTATCTGCAATACACAATGTAGAAAGCATTTTATTAGTAAAAACCATGACATTTATATGGAAAGCAGTGCTGAATACTTAACAGTGGGTTTGGAGGATGCCAGTTGCCAATTAAATTGTTTTTCCAGCAGCAGTAGCTGCCTCAAGTGTTTTCAAATGTTGAATTGCAACTTGAACATTAAAAAAGAGTTGCCTTCACTGTTCAGAAAAGGCTTTTTTCATCTGATGTAACTTAACAAAATAAACCCAGGAGCACCTTCACCACACCATTCAACCAGTAATGGGGAATTCTAACACAAAATGATAATTCATCAGAAAGGTGAAGTGCAATGAAAACTGGGAGAAGGAATGACCATGGATTTCCCTCTATGGCCTCAAAAGTTAACAACTGCAGTCAGAGCAGTGAGTTTCAAAGACACCAGGTGTTTTTGGTGCTCATTTCAGAAGCTGGTCGTGTGCTTTGTGTTAAAGAACAGTTCACATTTTGAAGGATGGTTGGATCCTGATTGAGTGTATTGTGTTGTTAAACTGGGCTCAGGTTCCTCATTTTGTTTTATTACAGGATTATACACACGAATTCCACAAAACCAAAGCAAACTTCTTGGCAATACGAGAAAGGGAGAATCTGTTGGGATCAGTAAGGAAAGATATCGAGTAAGTTGTTTGCTATAGCAATGGTATGGGACTGTTCTTGGCGGGGGGAAGCTGGAAACTCTCCTGTAGGAGAATCTTTGGCATAGTTTATTCCTCTGTACTCTGAATACAGCAAAAATAGTTACTTGAATTCACAACTCTTATTAAGGTCGTGTTAAGATTCTGTTTTGTTTTGTTGTTGGATTTTAGATCATATAAAAGTGGGTCTGGCGTGAATAACAGAAGAACAGAACTATTCCTTAAGGAACACGAGCACCTTCGAAAGTAGGTGTAATTTGTGATTTACTCTTTTGGGGGATGAAACGTTCTTACTTCCAAGCATGTGTGAAAGCTTTGTCCATTTGTTAATATGTATGTCCACAGTGAAAACCTTGCACTTGGAATTGTGTGACAGTGCTGCTGCTTGTGTAGCTGGATAAACTTTTATTGCTTGTGCTGACTGAAATGTGTATAGTAGGTAGTTGTTCATGACTGTTTCCAGTGATTTCTGACTTTCAGGGTCTTGTCAGCACTAAGTGATACCATGTTGTCTTCAGCAGGCTTTTAAAAATCACTTCTGAGTCAGACCTTGCCCTTGGCCTTTGCCTTCATGGCATGATCACTGGGATAAAGGTTAAAAATCTAAACCAAAGTCCCAATGATTTAGCTGGTTTTCCCTTTCTTCTTCATTTGTCAGTCAGACAAAGAACCTTTTTCCTTTTGTCTCTACTGAATGTGTACAAATGGTGATGGAAGAGACTAATTCCAGTGTTACCCATGCACTTAAATACTTGCAAATTGACTCTAGTTTATTGGCCAAGATAACAAACAAAACAGGACTTTCTTTTCATTCTCGTTGCAGAGAGGGCATTAGATTATGAGTAGCTGCTTTGTGTCATGCTCATTCAGCAAAAACAGCATGTTTTGATAGAACAGCACTGGGTGGTTCATGTTTTCTAGGTAGTCAAGAAACAGCAGTGATCTTCATGCCTCTGTTCTTGACTGTCCTTACACTAAACCTCAGGCTTGCTCAAGGGGGCAGCCTTTCACTTGAAATAACTAACTATAAAGTGACCTGTGGCTTTCTGCAATGTGCCTTCATAAAGAGAACTCCAACCTCCAGCCAGAACTGCACAAAAAGCTTTTACAGGAGATTAAACCCCAAATCTGTGATTGTGGCTTAGCACCATTTCGTCCTCAAGTTTCTTTAGTATCTTTAAAACTCAGAAGTTAATTAAATTATGACTTTTGTTAGGTCGTATTTGTTGTTAAAGATACATCATGAGGAAACGTAAAGTTGCCAGGAAAAAAACCCCACACTCTTAATATTTTGGAGGTGAGTGTTACCTGAGATGTTGTACTTTGAAGAATTAATGCCAGTTAACCTGAGTAAACCTGATTCTTTCTAGATGATGTGGTTTGGTTTTCCCTGGTTTTGGAGGGGTGATAAATGCATTTGTACATTTGGCATTTTGTTAAAGAAGGCTACAAATAAGGGACTCTTGGAGTCATAAAATGCACTTCTAAGAAGGTGACATTTCCCTGAAGGCACTGTTTTGAAAAGGTTAAAACAATGGAGAGGAGAGCTTCGTTTTGTAAATGTTATCTGCAGATGTCGTCAGATCTGGAGCCCAGCATTTACTGAGCATTGATTGCTTTGATCTCTTTAAACATGCTGAACTCTCCACTATGATTTTAGGGTAAAAATGCCTGAAAAATAGAGTTAAATAAGGCAGTTTTGGAACAGTTCAACCGTCTTCTAAGTGATAACTTGCAAATGTCAAGACTTTTGAAACCTGTGAAAAGAGTTTGAAGAATGGGGATGGGAACTTTGCAAGTGTATTATTATATGCTGCAAAGGAATGAAATAACACCACAGGAATGATGTATTTGTATCAGACATTGGAGCATTCACTTGGTCTTGGCCCTGCTTAATTTATTATATGAAGTACTTTATTACATACTTTTCCATGATCTGATAATGGAGGATGTATGGGCTATTACCCACTGCAGAGAACCAGCCTCATCCATCAGCCTTGTTCTTTATGCACTACCATGTGAGACAGGGTAATCAGAAACTTGACTTTACTCTTGGCAGCTTTTCCATGACTGCTCTCTAAAAAGCCTGCTGGCAGCCCAGAGGGGTGTTGTTTGTGATGGTATCTCACTTGGGAATAGGATGAGGAGATCCATAAAGCTCTTCTCCAGAAGGGACTTAAGGCATAATCATGGAATAGTTTGGGTTGGAAGGGACCTTAAAGCTCATCCAGTCCCAACCCCTGCCATGGGCAGGGACACCTTCCAGTAGAGCAGCTTGCTCCAAGCCCCATCCAGCCTGGCCTGAACCTCTGCTTTTTGCCTGAATCCACCTCCTTGTTTTTCTGTTCCATTCTGAATGTTATCTCTTCTGGAAGAAGAATGAAGGAGAATCTGTCGGTTTTAATTTTCCATATGTAGGTAATAGTGAAAAAGGAGGAGAAATAAATCTGAGAGTACAAAATTTTTATGAATAAAAGGATCCAGCATATTATTAAGCACCAATAGAATGATAGCTGTGGAAGCACTGTACATGTATTACGCCTGTAATACATGAACCTGCTCTCCGTTAAGCTGTGAGGATGGTGCATCCATTTGGATGCACTCTCCTGGGTGGGGCTGGCTGCTGTGTCAGTGCTGCTGGCACAAGTCTGGTGTGCACTTTCAGGTTAGGATCATGGTGCTGCTGGGATAGCCCTTGGGCTGGAGGCATGCAGGGCTCCCAGTTCTGGAAGTGCTAGGGAAAACATGGTGTGGTGTTCTCTCTTCAGTGGAGAGCTTTGCTGATGCCTCAATTCATTCTGTAAGTCAGCTGAGTCTGAGTTTTATTGGAAAAGGAGATTTATCTAGAAATGTAGTTGGCTGTGGATGAGTAAAGTTTCTAAGTTGCTCAGTTTCCCACTTCTATACAGATAGCTCAAGAACAGTTTTAGCTGTCTCTGGAGATAAAACCAGTAATGCTTACATTTTGTAATAAACTAAATTGAAATGAGGCTGGAATACAGATTTCATCAAATATTGATGCCCTGATAATTTTTTTACCTGATACCTCATACCTTTTGTTGTGTCAGGTACTAAATACCAAGTCTAGCGTGGTCATGTTTGCAGTTGCTGTTTGGATGCTTGTTTTCTTGGGTCTGTGCCATTCAGTGAAGGTGTTTGTCTCGTCTTCTCTGTTTGTATGCTTTTGGCCAGGGAGATAAACAAGTCATCCATTTTCTTGTAATACTGTTTTCTACCTAAAGAAAACAATTTTGATGAAGAGGTCTAGCTTAGCGCTTGAAAAACTGCCCTGAAAAGTGCTGCCTCAGAGGAAAGAGCCAGCTTAGTGTTTGCCCTGAGAAAGTCTGCAGTTGTTGATGAGTGACAGTAGAAAAAGGACTGATGTGTTTGATTAAATTAGCAGTATTGTGTGTATGCAATTGAAAATTGCCCTTGTGTTGGTGCTTTTATTGGAGGTGAATGATACCCTATGAGGTGATAGGGATGAATTTGTGTAAAAATTGATGAGGGCTTCTAAGGTTTAGATAGGAATTACAGATTTTTTTCCCTATGATGAATTCATTGCAAAACTAGCTGAAAATTAAACCACTTCAGTGGTCAGCAGCATTTGCTGGAGTGCGTTTGTTCTGCCATTGTAGGGCCACTGTACAACTATTACTTTGTTACTCAGGTCCACGCTCAAAAACTAGACATCTGTCCTCCTCCAAAAGAAGAGGCTGGTGGTAAAGAGGTGCCCGGATCATGAGCTGTGGTTCTAATTGCTGACAGATGACTACGTGTTTCTGGTGGGTGTCTCTGTGCAGGCTATCAGTCTGTCTGGTAAAAAAGATTTCAGCTCAGAATTATGAGGTGTGATGCAGGTAGATGAGATGAACCTGCTCAAGTGTTCCTTAGCTAAGGACATAAACCACTCCTGTGTGGCTTAAAATATAGCACTGGATCAGAGGGTAGGGGGACCAGAAGAGATGGGTGAGAAATGTTGAAGGAGAAAAGGAGGAGAGCAAACAGAGGGATGTGTTCTGTATGGGAAAGAGGAATAAGAGAAGTGAGCAAAACAAATAACGGGAATCTGCAGCACTTGTGTAATGGTGCTATTAATAATACATACCTGATTCATGGAGATGATTAGGATAAACTAATGTTTGTGCAGTGCTTCATATATGTGAAGTGCTCTGGAGTGCTAAATATTATCATTACTATTATTGCAATTCATGTGTCAGCAGAACTGTTTCAGGTTTCCTGTTGTTGTTTGGGCAGAAACTGCCACCATCAGTTGAGAATAATGACCAGGAAACTGCTTTCCAACTTCGTAATGCAGTCCAGATCTTAATAGAGGGAGTGACTTGTTGACCATTTTTCCTCTAAATACTGATGTTGCTTACAGATCCTCACTTCAGTACTGCTTTGCACAGAGAAGTCAGCTTAATGAGATATGGAGACACTTCACAGGGGTTTTGATTAGAGGTGTGTTGATGTTCTGGGGAAAAGCAACTAGTTTTCTACCTTAATTTCCTTTTGTTATCCCTGCTCTTCACACTCTGATTTCCATTCACCGTGCTGTTGCTGCCTAGGTTCCTGTGGATTTCGGTGGACCTTCAGTGTTGAATTAGAGCCAGAGTACTGCTGTTGCCTCCCCTTCCATCCCCATCTTCACTTCCAATTGCAGGGGGAGTATCACATGAAAGGGGCGCAGACTTTCTTGACCCCTCATGTTTAATCTGTCTCTCAGCACCCCAGGAAAGCCAGGACTGTTATCTCTATCCATAACATGGGCTTTTTAGGCAGGGCTTTACGCTCTGTCCGACAGCAGCACAAATAAAGTGGTTTTCAAGGAAGGGATTTGAACAAGGAGGATTTTTAGTATTGGAAAAGCTGACTTAAGATGCACAACTTGTCCTGTAATCCTGTTTGGAAATACAATTCTGTTTTCTCATTCTGCTCTGTCTCCTATTGCTGAACAGTTCTCTGAATTGCAGTTGTGCACCAGTGATTCCTTGCTTTTGCCTTATCTCTGAATGGGATTGAATGGGTTTTATCTCCAAACATGCTGGCAGAACCTCTGTCTCTTGAAGATTCATGGCAGAATGACACAAAGCCACTTCCTAAATAGCAGGATTGGCTTCCCTGTTACAATCCCATGCTGAATACAAGATTTGGGCATATCATATACTTAACCACGACACCAGACTGAGAACGCCTTGTCTATTTTCTTATTCTAATAGTAGATAATGCTCAATGAGGGAGAC